TTATTACATCAGTTACCTGACCTAAAATTTTGTTACTCCTTATTATCTAATTATATATATATATATATATATATATATATATATATATATATATATATATATATATATGTATAGATTAGAGAATACCAAGAATAGTCCTGTCAAAATCGGTCCAGCCATTTCAGAGATTAGCCGGAACAAACAGACAGACTGACAAAAATTGCAAAAAATGTTATTTTGGTGTATTATTTATATTTATATGCACTTAGTAAAAAAACGGTTATTTTAATGTTACAAAAAGCACTCCAATTTTATTTATATGTATAGATTTTATTAAATCCGTAAGTAGTTATATTCTTAGATGGCAGATAGAGTGATTCAAGAGGAAGGTTTATATATATAATACATGTCTATTATAGTCTAACAAGCCGAGAAATTCAAAGATTTGTAATGAATCCGTGCGAAGCCGGGTCTAGTCGATAATCATTACATAGTATAAAACAAAGTCGCTGTCGCTGTCTGTCCGTCTATATGTATGCTTAAATCTTTAAAACTACGCAACGGATTTTGAAGCATTTTTTAAAATAAATAGAGTGATTCAAGAGGAAGATTTATATATATAATACATGTACACCCGTGCGAAGCCGGGGCGAGTAGCAAATTTACTTATAAAAAGCTACAAAATTAACGAGTTAAATGACCTTTCTTTTATTTTAAAAATTAATAATCTCCACAGCAATTACATTCGAGCAAAGTGCTATAGTAATACGAAGAAACTTAAAATATACTATAGAAACAAAAAAACAAATAAATTTATAGTCATCGAATAGCAGATCGACGTTCCGTGAGTTGTTCGCGTCAACGGCGTCCTGAATCTTGATCTGCCTCGCCGTGATCTAGGTGTGCTGGTACCGACCGAATGCGATTTTCCACCTTATTACCCAGTGATAAGGCTTGTCGATAGTCAGCGCAGCACCATTCCTAAGAATGAGATAAGATCACCGGCGGGTTGTGCGTCAAGCGAACTGGCCGCGGCCCTTCAATTATTCACAGGCGGAACACTTATAGACCACGTTGTTTGCCCTCGACGTAATGTAGCGTAAAAAACGCCCACGTCGTACCGTATCGTAGTGTTACACCATCTGTGCGTATGCGTAACTCATTTGATGCTTCCAAATAATCATTGATGAGTGTTTTCAGTTTACTCCATAAATATTTGCTTCCAAGATATTGCTAATGTTCAGATTCTTATTCACGGTTTTCATTATTGAATTAATGCATTGTGATAAGTGATTTTTTTATTCCAAACAATTTCCAAAGTTATATAAGTAAGAAATCGCGGACTCAGGAATAATAATGGATGATAATGGAATGATGCACATGCTTGCGCTAACGGATTACGCTGGCGGGGCACTAGTGGAGGATGATAAGATGAACATGACAGGTCAGTTAGCCCACCGTGGTAAATTTACCAGGAATTTATCATGATGGTTTCCAGGGGAAACTGCATGGAGGTAAATCTGACTTGGTACATTACTAACAATGGAGTCATCAGTCCACATTGCTAACAATCCCCTTTTCCCCAGAGATCGTAATTGTTAATAATAGTTGGACCTATGTTAGTAAATAACCGGTGAATCCATTAATGGAACATTCAGCAGGGTCTGTTTTGTCCTGACCTTATTTTTATATTGGTATAATCTAATAGAATATCTACTGGTACGCTGTTGAAAAGCACTGAATAAATATTTTTTCTTTCTTTGTTTCTTTCTTTCTTCTACTGGTCCTATACTGGACTGGGTCCAGCGTTAGCGTATACTATTAGTGCTTTTAGAATTGCCACCACTTTTATCATTAATAAAAACATGTTCACTTTCGCAAACTTACATTGCGAGAAAGATGCAGTCGAATATACGTCGAGTATATGTCTTGGACAATTATAGGTTAGGATTAGGAAACCTAACATAATAATACTGGACAATTCTGACAGCACCATCTAGTCCCAAGTTAAGCAGATGTTATGAATACTAGACAACTGATATAAATACTTGGATACATTATTTTTTGTAAATACATATGTAGAAACACCTAGACCGATACAATCATACTATTTGCTGTGTGCGAGGAATCGAAACCACGACCGTTGGAAGTAAAGTAGCGTGCTAAACAGCTAGACTACCGAGCCCGTCAAATTTATTACCAGATCATTAATTTTTTGTAATAATAACAAATATGTAAGTAAGCCTACAAATATAGCTACAGCCAGTTAGTTTATTGATTTCACTACAGTAATAATAGAGGATTGATCTTTTTATTTTCTTGAATTAGTTAGTGCACCGTTGTTAGAAGGGGACATCTCATTGCGGCGGGAGGCGGTGGGCGATCTATTTCCACGTGTCCACAGTTCTCACCGCCAATGGAAATAAGCTTTACTAATGATTTTTATGGTTATTTATAAACGGTTACCACCCTGACGCGTCCGGAACATTTCAATCTCGCGACATACAACTGCTATTGGACTCTGAGAACTAACATCTTTTCATGCTTCAAATTAATTTCAGTGGTTATTCACCTTTGTGTTTGGCTAAAGCCAAAAGGAGTAAAGAACCTAGTCCAGAAGGTACATCAAAAAAGGAATCAGGAAAAGGTAGATCGGGAAAAGGATATGTCTAATTATCTACTCGTATTTTTACCACAGATTCCTTGCGTGAAGGGTAGATAGCTCTATGCAGGTCGCAGTGCAAAAAGTCTCTACTGCACAGAGTAATAGTCCAATCTTAAAATAAAATAAGACGTGAAGGGTATCGTGGAAAAAAAATTACACGTTTAAATTTGCATGTCTACTCATAGGCAAAAAGTAGAGAAACTGTTAATTTTACTGACACCCCTGTGTAACTATATTCAGCAAAATTAATTGGCTAATACATTGATGAATACCAAAGATCTTTCTTGAGCCAGTCAGCGCAGCGGAAGAAGAGTGCTCTATGCACCGTATGTCATAATAGAAAATAAAAATGCACGACTCAAACAAGTCCGTCCATGTTAGTCGAAAGAGACATTTTGTAGTGTACAAACAGAATTATGTTTGCCCAGGACTTCACACTCGTCGCTTGCTTCATCAACTTTAATAACACGCTCAAGTACAGTTTCAAAGACAGTTTACAGGGCAAACTTAAGCATACTCTGCGCCGGGATAATTAAATCAATTAGCTCTCACTTTACTGAGTAAAGACATCCAACACGCCTACAAAACTCTAAAATACATTAAATTGAATCTTGTATTAATAATAATAATAAACTCTTTATTGTACACAGGAGAAATACAATAAGAAAAACAGGAAGTAGAAAATTAATATCAAGAGGCAGTCTTATCGCTATAAGCAATTTCTTACAGAGTACCTGGAAGAGAGGGCTAATGTACATAGAAAAGTTAGATGGCACACACAAGATACTATAATTATTAAACGAATAAATAGACATACATAATATAGCTTTTCATTTAATGCTATACATAGACACCTAAATAAATAAACAACCTTTAAACTGGGTTTAAAAGAAAAGAAATTAAATTGAGTTTCTTGTCAGTTCTCAGTTGAATCTATAGACTAAAGTGGACTAAACGTATTAGGTAATACAAAAAACATGACGTTCATAGACGACTAAAATGTTCTACATTAACATCATCATCATCATCTGCTTCTTCCTTAGCCCATTTAATTGGGGTCGGCGTAATATGTTTGTTTTACATGAACAAATTGTTATATTTTCCGGTATATTTTATTCCATGTATCAGTTTCGATATTATCACGCAGAAGGGATTAGAGATAATATTATGTTTTGCTGACACTGTTTGTGTCGATATATGAACAGAATTAGATGACGTGTCGATGGTAGTAATTATTGCGGCGCGGCGGTGAGGCGGCGGCGCCGCGCGGGCTGCCGCTCGCTCCAAAGTTCAAGAGCAGCCGTCCGCCAGCCCACGACACTCGCCCGACGATACTACTTACCTTTGTTTCATTTATATTTTCCAAAATTATTTCCTACTTGCTGTGTGTGTGTGAAATTTATAGCTTATGTATTATTCTAATGTATAATGTTATGCCTCATTAAAATCCCTTTAGTAATATTTGCGAGAAAGAGTCACTCTTCGTCTATCCATCCGCACTCATAGACTCACAGACCACGTTTATAATGTTAGTAAGATATTTTAAATATTTAAAATTGTTCTGGTTATTTTTAATTGGCTTTTCGAATTTGTTCAAATAAACCATTTTACTACCCATGGCCACACCATTGGTAGTAAAATGGTTTAACACACCGCCTTACTTTCTATGGTCGCGAGTTCGTTTCCTCACACCATACAAACATTTGTATTAATAACAAATGTTCAAAATATTTGTATTGGTGTTTTCTGGTTTTATGTATATATTTCTATTAGTACCCATAATATAAACTCGGACTTAGATTGAGACTACATGGCGATGTCAAATATTATTATTATTAGGTACATAATACTTACACAATATTTGACGATTGGAAAATTCAAGTCTCCAAATCTAATACTAGTCTTAAAATTACTTTCTGATACGGATACATCCGATCTTTGGGGGAGGCCTATGTCCAGCAGTGGACGTCTTCCGGGCTGCGATGATGATGACGGATACATCCAATATTTCGTCTACTTTAGGGCATTGTAATCTCCATTTTAAATTCTAAACATTGGTTGGCGTAGTAATTTACAGTAAACTAATATGATTACCTCTTGATTATCGGCGTAGTAATCGATTAGGCAATTAATGCTAGCATCACTATTCGAGCAGAACAAAGACTAAATCATAATACGTAAATTGCGTTTTATATATATGGTGCCACGTGGAAGTTTCATTCAATAAATACATTTTTATCATTACAAGTTTATTCTGATAGATATGTATAATATGATGTGTCCAATAAAATCAGAACGGTAACAGTTTTATTAAGTGCTAACAACAAGTTACTTACTGGACATGCTTTTGTTTCAGGTATGAGCGGCGAAGCATGCGCGTGCGCACCTACGCCGCCGCGGCTGTTGCCCGACCCGGAACCTGACCATTTATACGACCACCACTCCTCCGAGGAGGAGCTAGAGGTAAATAGCATGACACTGGCGTGACAAACAGACCACACAACCCTGCACTGTGAAAATAAATTTAAAACAGCATGAAACGTTTTGACCACCCGCAGTAATGTTGACAACCGCATCATTTCTGCGGTTAATGACAGACTTACACGTCTACTTTTCTAGTAGAAACTGTCTCCTTGCTGACGTCACTCATGTCTGTCAGACGTCCAGACAGGATGACGTCGGTGTAGGTGTTTTGTGGCCTACGATATGTGATACACGATACATTAGTGTAATGAATTATCTGACACTCATTATTGCTCGCATTTTGCGCCCAACATTGTTGCGAAATGCTCACATATGGCCGATTTGCACATACCAGAGCAGGGTAGGCGAACCGTTACGCATCAACGTGCCATTTTTTCCAAAAAATGTTTAATGGGGTCATTGACGTGCCATCAAATATATTTGACGTTCTGATTATTTAGAAAATAATAATAATAAATACTATCAAAACTCTCTATGAAATAAAGTAAACGAAAGTGGTACATTTTGGATTGTATTCATTACACGCGTAAATTAAAATACTGTAAAATTATTGTGACTTCTGTTGCTGCAGGTTAGATGACAAATAATTTATGTCAGGCTTGTACGATGTTACTTTTAGCAAAATGCATGCTGAACTGGATTCATCTGTCACACGGTTTCTAACCGAGTTTTAATGTTATTCATCTCTGAAAATGATGACTCGCTGGCATTGGTAGATGAAAATATTGTTAAAATAGCATGAGCCAGCTTCTTCAAACAGTTTTATGATCTACGACGTGCCCGAAATATTGTGTCGCGTGCCGTCAATGGCACGCGTGTCATTGGTTCGCCTACCCTGTTCTAGAGTATCTGAAATTAAAAGTACAGACTGTTTTACATCTGAGTTTGATTGTGGTACGTCTAGATCGTTCATAAACATTTCCTTTGCCATAGCAACTCAAAATTTGATTGGTGCTTCCAAATTTTACTGTTGAATGATTTGTGAGTGTAAATCTTCCATTATCAGTTTGAATTTGGAATAGCTGTGTCCGTTTAAGTTTCTATTGTTGCCAGGAAAGTAAGTTTTAATTTATTTTCAATATATTAACTTATCCGTTCATTTATCCCGTGATATTCGTTATGGAGTAATTAAGTGATTCCTTCTATAATCTTCTGGATTTTATAATGTCTGAGTCCATCTATATTTGCCGCCTACTATTTGTCAGTTTGGAAGCGTGGATCCATTTGCAAAGGTATCTTTTTTTTGACAATTCATACAGCGCCATCTAAACCCAAGTTAAGCTAGCTAAAGCTTGTGTTATGGGTACTAGATAACTGATACAAATACATAGATTTTTTTTTGTAAATTAATACATATTATACATAGAAAACACTCAGGCCGATACAAACAATCATACTCACGAATCTAGACACGCGGCAGCGTGTCAAGCCGAGTTTCAAGTAAACTGGCCTGCAGCACCGTGTGTATATTTACACGAACCATTTGGAGCCACTTTTGACCCCCTCATAACTCAAAAACTCTTTCACATAAACCTGTCAAATTTGGTTCATATATTGAGACTTGCGAGATAAATATGTGTTCCAAATTTCATAAACATATCTCAAACGGTTATTTAGATATTAATGTCCAAAAATCGTCATTTTTATCACTGATCAACTATAGATCAAAATTATAACCCACTTCCAGATGACCTAGGAAGTTCAAATTTGGTATGCAGATAGGTAATTAGGTGAATATAAAGGAAAAAATCTGAAACTGGTAAATTGTTATCATTTTACTACAATTTTTCACTTTAATTGATTCTATTTCAACTTATACTGGACGAATACTAAAATTCTATGAAAACGTCGATAGCCACCAATTGACATTGATCCCTGGCGAAAATCTCATCTTGTACTGGACGGAAAGTAATATTGTATGAAAACGTCGATCATTACCAATTTACGTTGACCCCTTCACATCAGTGTCGATAACTAGCAAACTTCAAATATTGCATTGAGCGGTAAACACTAGTTGCTATAATTTAGATTCTGTCTAAAATATACTCGTACTTATAACTAGGAGTATAGTCGAATTTCGTATTTATTATGTTATTAACTGAGATTTGGTATTAATTATTGTTTCAATATTTAGCGCACATCGATAGTGTAAAATCATTATTTTTATAAATAATTATTAAATAATAGGCATTTCGGTATAGGGCGCCGCGGCGGCGCCGTGTGGGAGCGGTGCGATAAAACTTAATGTTTTGTTTCTCGATATCTAACCTATAAGGTTGCGATTTATGCCACGAAATTCATAGCTTTCTTAAATTATACTTATATATTTGTGGTTATATTATTATTACATTATTTTAGTAAATACATATGGTATAGACAATAGTTTAAACCAAAAATTAATAACAATTTTAGTATAGTTATAAGTAGGAATGTATAGTTAACTCGAGAATGAGAACTCATTGGTAACAAATTGTTTTCTTGAGAATTCAATAGATAAAAGTCAATTTGTTACATAATCGTCTTTACTAACTATAACGGGTCAATACGAAATTTCAGATATTAAATAATGTATATGTTGATAGAGAACAATTCCGTATTTGCTTAACATATGCTATTACTATCCACAAATCACAAGGCCTTAGTTTTAGCAGTCGTCTTCTCAACATAGGCTCCTCTATATTTAATAAAGGGCAGGTTTACGTTGGACTCTCCAGAGTTAAAACCTTAGATGGAGTACGTCTTAACAATTTAGATCCAAGTCACGAGAGCTCTATTGTAGAGTACAACCATCTGTGGACGTTATACCGCCCCGATTTGCCCAAAAATTCCTGATACTGAATTGGCATTGCACTTGAACATTTAAAAGTTACAAGAAAATATAGAAAATAACACAGAAAAAAGACAATTATACCCCGTAAATATACGAAAATACAGTAATTTATCAAAAATAATTTGGTATTAATTTAGTTATGAATAAGTACCTCGTATAATTTATGTACAAAAAGTAATGATATCCCATCAAAAACATAAATGTGAAATGATAGCCGAGTTTAATATTATGATATATACCTTGATTGTTGACTTCTACGACAAAAGAGATGAGATCTAAATGGGTGCCAAGTTCAATGGTCTGTCCTGAAATGTATTTATAACAATATAAAATATCATTTCTTCTTATAACTTAGGATAATATACTGTAGCCTAAGGTCTAACTTGGCTAGTTTTCATATACGAAATATACTGTAGCCTTCGCAAGTTCTAAACATGTTACTTGTCGGTTCCTATTTTAATATTAATAGTAACTAGCAATCGAAAGTAATAATTGGTATATGAGAACTGGCCAAGTTAGACCTTAGGCTACAGTATATTATCCTAAGTTATAAGAAGAAATGATATTTTATATTGTTATAAATACATTTCAGGACAGACCATTGAACTTGGCACCCATTTAGATCTCATCTCTTTTGTCGTAGAAGTCAACAATCAAGGTATATATCATAATATTAAACTCGGCTATCATTTCACATTTATGTTTTTGATGGGATACAAATGTTTGTGCGAGGAATCAAACCCGCGATACGGACGTAAAGCGGTGTGCTACACCGCTAGACCACCGAGGTCGTCATATCTATAGCATACAGAAGGGCGTTTATCCTCAAGTATGGGAAGTTCCTCGAACGCCTCACAATATTATAGCCGTGTTATTGTTCATGTTTATAAATGACACATTTCCCGTCAGGTGCACCATCAGTGTGTTTCCAATCACATAAAAATTCTGTCAGTAGACTATTGATTGGATACCATAGATAATATTTACCCGACTGTATCCAACTAAACATTACCAATCCAAATGGCAATCCTTGAGAATATTTAATTGCTAGTGAATAATAATATGAATTTCAAATGAGTTACTGTTCAGTCAATAATACTTACTAACTAAGAATAACAACATATACTTACAGTAAATCTAGATGTTAGTTAAAACAATGAGAGGCTATAAAAATTAAATATTGTTAACTATTTGTTAGTAATATGATAGGGTTACACTGTCCGTTTGAATTTACCGTTTGTGACACATATGTGTTAATTGTCATTTGCGAAATACAGTTGATTATAGGAAGAAACTACACCAATACATAAAAAGAAAATAAGAATTCAAATTCAAAATATTTTTATTCATGTAGGTCTATTATAGACTCTTATGATATGTCAAATCTACCGTCAGTTCGGAATGATTTCGAGATGAGAAGAATTGACAAGAAACTCAACTCGTATTCTTTTCAAATAAATGTTGTTACATGTTTACAATAATACAATCTATACATATAAATAAAATTAGAGTGTCTGTTTGTAATATTGAAATAACAGTTTTTATTACATGCATATGAATATAAATACGATACATACACCAATATAACATTATTTACAATATTTGCCTGTGTGGCTGTTTGTTCCGGCTAATCTCTAATATGCCTGGACCAATTGTGACAGAACTTTTATTGGCAGGTAGCTGATGTAATAAGGAGTAACTTAGGCTACTTTTATTTTAGAAAAACAAAGTTAAATTCCACGCAGATGATGTCGTGGAAAGAGCTAGTTCTATATAAACACGGACTTCCCTAATCAAACGTATAGTTTGGTACAGAATGTTTACTACGGGCGCATCTCGTATGCGTCAAAATGAATTATGAGATCCGTTGAGCCGGCGAAGCAACACGATGTCCTGTACTGTGCACCACGCTGCATTAATTCGCCACGACAAGCCGCAACATTACGGACGTCGCCGGTCTTACCTCCCTCTGTACACCCCTCCCATCAACGACCATCACTACACACCAGTGTGTTTCAATCTGTGGGTCGGGACCCCTAGGGGGGTCTTTTTACGTCCGATGGTCGCGGGTTCGATTCCTCGCACGGCACAAACATTTGTATTGTATAGTGTATGATTATTTGTATCGCTCTGGGTGTTTTCTATGTAT